ACCAATTGGAGGAAGGCTGTTTGCAGAGACAAGCTATCGGCAGTTTTCCTCGTGACTGAATGTAATCAGTTTTTCAAAAAAGCCTGGAAATAGAGCTGCAGAGAGACGGTTTGGACCTCCTCCCACTGAGTGTATCAGGTCAAGTTTAGTTATAATTACTAAATAAAAATGTGTTCTGCACTATCTTTAAAATATTAATCTTGGGTTGGAAAAGTGGGGGTCGTCTTGTACATGGGGGCGTCTTATTGATGGAAAAATACGGTACCTTTTTCAGAAAGTCATTTTAAACATCATCCTTTTTTTTTTCCTCAAGAGCCCCAATTTCAGCATGATTTTATTCCAGGTTTTGCTCAAGGTCCAGAGGGAACTCTGAACACGTGATTTGGATTCTACATCTCATCAGCTTCAGCATGAATGGCTGATGGTAAGAAACTGTGGGGAGTTTAGTCCAAAGCTGGGGATGCAAAAGGTTGCTCACTCCCATCTCAGCAATTGCTAGGACGACATCTACAGTAACTTCTTGAGTCTCTGCCTTCTTCCAACATCTGTCTCCTGAATCTCAAGTCTTAAAGCAAGGTTCAGCATGGAGGAAGCCCTGGGTAAGTTGATGTGCAGTAAGGTCTTCCTCCTTAAATTGGCTTTCTTGGCCTGTTTAGGTTCCTTACAGGCTACAAGCAGCATTGAGCCACATGATTTCCATCCTGCCCCAGAACAGTGCTGGCATCCACCCATTGAGCAGTAGAGATTTTGAGAGGCCCAGGAGAAATGGGAGAGTTTCAACCAATTTCAACCCAACTTTTTTCCAGCACAGACCCTCCATCAGAGTGGCAAGGCTAGTGAGCTACAGTTTCAATGTATGGGAGCAGGTAAACAATACAATAATAACAATAATAACAAACAGCAGAAGGCCACCCACCCCACCCCAATCAAGCAGACTCAGCTACCTGGTTAAATGATGTTGGCCATATGATGGCAGTCTCATTGATGGAGAGCTTGACTTCTGAAGAGGCTTCTCTTTCTATAGTCCCAATTTTCACCCCAACAGTAGACTTGTTGGGAAATACTGCCCAGTTCATGATATCTAAGTCAGCAACAGGATTTCCAGCCTCATCCAAATAAACATTATCCACAGAAATATTGTAAAGCTGGAAGTTTCTTAGAAAAGGATGAAGCTAAAAAGACATACATTGCCATATGAATCCTAATTCAAAAGTGGTCTGCTTCAACTCAGTGTCTCTGTCTGCAAACGTTGGAAGAATCCAAGTAAGGATTTACTCTCTCTCTCTCTCCTTTTGGTTTATCACTCTGGCCTGATCACTTTTATGAAATTGCTAATCTTGGGTCACAAACATATTTTGACTCCAGCCTCCACCCTGGGTAAGCTGGCCATCTCACTATGGTTGGTTCCCCAACACTGATTTAAAGTGCCAACCACCTCTGGTGTTGGATTTGGCTAAAACACCAATATCCAAAATTTCCTTGCCTGGGACTTTGACTCCACTCTGTCTTTGGATCATCTTCAGCAACCGGGTGCTGAATTGTCCTATCTTCTTTGGTGCAATCTTCCTTCCTTCTCTCTCTCACCTATCCTTCTTTTCCACTTCCTCTGCTTGGAGATTGTTCTCCACCCCCTTGTCTATGTCATCTGAAACAAGGAACCTCCCCCCTCCCCCCCCCACT